AGGTGGGATCTAAAGGGTAATGGCAGAAGGGGACAGGGTACATTTGGAAGTCTGAAGAGTCACAGGGCGGTGTCAAACATTGGAAATGAGAAGTGAAACTTGGCAGTCTAAACCCTACAGGGCCTTGTAGGGTGCAGTCAGGAATTTGACCTCTGTATTCAGAGACCTTTGAGGAGCCCTTAAAGGGTCTATCATAGGACAAAGACAAGATTTGACCTGCCTCAAACAATAAGATGGGGGTGGAGGAGCAGGGGCCACAGAAGATGAAAGGGGCGCAGTTGTCTCTGTGATGACTCCAGGCTCTAAAGATAGTTTGCCTGAGAAGGGAGGGGAGCAGCATGTGTTTGCCAAAGTGGACAGTTAACTATGAACTACATCCTTGATTGACCAGAACACCCCATTTCCTGTCTATATCAAAGAATGGTTCCCCTCACTAATGTCCACTTAACAATGTCCCCTACGCCCCTCACCACCACCCTATCCTCCCTCCCCCACCCGGCTCCCCTCCTTCCCTTGACAGCTTCACTTAACTTTACCAGCTCTTTCTCTTTGGGATGGTATGGACAAGGTTAACTTGCTTCTCCCTTCCCTCATTCTATCCTTTCCTCCTTCTCGTCTCTTCTTCATTCCTCTTCCTTCCTGTCTCCTCTCTCTCTCCAATTAATTCTACTTAATACGTATTTCCTCCATTTCAGTGAACTGTGGCATTGAACTCTTTTTATTCTTTTTTAATGATTCATTCATTTTTTTTATATGCATTGGTGTTTTACCTGCATGTGTGTCCGTGTGAGGGTGCCGGATCTCCTGGAACTGCAGTTATAGAGCTGTTATATGGATGCTGAGAATTGAACCCCAGGTCCTTTGGAAGAGCAGCCAGTGCTCTTAACTGCTGAGCCAGCTCTCCAGGCCCCTGGCATTGAATTCCTATCTGTGGCCATCTTAGGATTCTTCATAGCCGGGCGGTGGTGGCGCACGCCTTTAATCCCAGCACTCGGGAGGCAGAGGCAGGCGGATCTTTGTGTGTTCGAGGCCAGCCTGGTCTACAAGAGCTAGTTCCAGGACAGCCTCCAAAGCCACAGAGAAACCCTGCCTCGAAAAACCAAAAAAAGAAAAAGAAAAAAAAAGAAAAACAAAACAAAACAAAAGATTCTTCATGTCACTAGTAGGAATAGAATTACAATTTGGCACACACCTTTAATCACAGCAGGAGGGAAACAGAAGCAGGAGGATCTCTGTGAGTTCCAGACCAGTTTGGTCTACAGAGTGAGTTCCAGGGGAACCAGGCCTGTTTCACAAAGAAACCCTGTCTCAAAAAGATGGAAGAAAAAAGAAGAGGAAAGAAATGTTCATAAGCACATGCATGCCTTTGGTAAGATTACATATACGTCCTCAACAAGCACGTATTTTCCTCTTTCTCTCCCCCTTCTCCCTCCTCCTCTCTCCCCGCTTCTCCTTCTCTACCTCTTCCTCTTCCTCCTCTTTTTCAGTAGTCATTTTTTGTTTGTTTTTGTTTTTTGAGACAGGGTCTTTCTGTATAGCACTCCACTGACTGTCCTGGATCTTGCTCTGTAGACCAGGCTGGCCTTGAACTCACAGAGATCCACCTTCCTCTGCCTCATGAGTGCTGGGAGTAAAGGTGTGCATCACTATCGAATGACCAATTAGATGTTGAGTGCGGTCTTGTTGTGTAGTCTAGGTTTGTCTCAAACTCATGATTCTGTTTCGGCACCCCCTAGTTCTGGCATTACAGTCATGCATCACCATGCCTGGCTACACTTAATCTTTTTATGAAAAATTCCATTCCGAAGGTAGTTTACACAAAAATTGTGGATATAGGTATATATGTTAATTACAGTCTTAAATCATTAGACATGTTTCAACAGAAAAAAGAGTGGAAACTCAAATGCAGAGATTGCATATGCCTAATTACCTATGCAGTTTCACATGCAGCTACTGTCGATAAATTACTACAGAACACACCAGAAGTGTAGAATGACATGAACTAGCCAGGCAGGTTGGATTTATGGTGCTGCAGAAAGTAACACAAGACCAAAGTCCTAGAAGACTAGGCTCCATCCTGTAGAGTCTATGCTGTGAATAGTCAGGCTGTGCCCTTCCTCTCTTATACTCCTTTTTATAAAAATCTTGTATCTCTGTTCATCCCCTTCTTCTACCCAGTAATTACAGAAGAAAAGACACTATATATCTGAGATTTCACATAACCTTTTACATCTATTGTTTTCATTGTCTTACTAACAAACTCTATAGTTGTCAGCCAGGGCTTTGTTCTGCAACACCCAGGACAGCAAAGATGTGTACAATGGATTTTTCCAGTTTTGCCTTGGTGATCTCTTTGGGCACATTCACCTGTCACCCTGTGTTCTGGCAGAGTTTGAGTCATGCAAATTGCAAACTGGTAAATAGCAACTTTGCATATTTTGAATAGAAAAGAACACCAAGGAAGTGCTCATCGTGTGTGTGCAGAGAAATCTGAGCTGAGGGGGGCGGAGAGCAAGGGCAGATCGAAGGTCCTAAGTATTTTCTTCAAAGTGTTTATCATGCTTATTAAACCCATTGTATATTTATGAATTAATTTGAATTATTTACATGGTCAACCTTTGAGACAATAACCCGGTTTAATCAAAGCAAGAAAATGTATCATTTCTCTTTGAAATCTGGAAATAAGGCCAGGGAGCAACTCAGTGGGTAAAGGCACTTGCTGTCAAGCCTGATGACTTGAGTTTGATTTCCTGGACCCTCAGGGTGGGAGAGAACAGACTCACTTAGGTTGTCCTCTGACCTCTGCACTCACCACAGCGCCTACACACGTAATGATAAGCAAATAATCTGGAAGTCAATTTAAACTGAAAGCGCCAGGATCTCTTGCCTGGTTACAAACTTGCCATTGTCAGGCTAAATGACATTCAGAAAGCAAGAAAACATGGCCATGTATTTCTTAGGGAAGTTGATAAATTCCCAGTGGGAAGGAATCTTCTGCACAGCCAACCCTTGAGTGATAAATTTCTTAAACAAAAGGTCTTTAAAGTTCTGTTTACCTGTAAATATCATGCAGTCTGACATGAGGGTGCCCAGCTTCTGAAATTTCAGTGTAGAAGAAAATGACATGATAAAAATGGTTGGTTTTTTCATTATATTATGGGCCTGGTGTCGTTTTTAGTGAATGGTAGGACTGGTAAGAATTTTTTAGTTGTTTTTTTTTCTTGTTTGTTTGTTTTGTTTTTTCGAGAGACAGGGTTTCTCTGTATTGTTTTGGCAGCTGTCCTGGAACTCACTCTGTAGACCAGGCTGGCCTTGAACTCACAGAGATCCGCCTGCCTCTGCCTCCCGAGTACTGGGATTAAAGGCGTGCGCCACCAACGCCCAGCATAGAATTATTCTTAAATCCAAGTTTCCACTGTGCCTTGGTAAAAGAAAGGTAGTTGCTGCACACATCTCTCCTTGTGGTGGTTTCCTCCTCCTCTCCCTCCTCCCCCTCCTCCTCTTCCTCCCCTTCCTTCTCCTCCTTTCTTCTTGCTGCTTAGCTGTCGACAAGGAATTTTTGAGAACAATAAATGTTGCATCCCTATAAAGACAGGAGTAACACAAGAGATGAGAAGGTGGAGCTTTCGGAGGTAGAGCTAACAGCTTGCTTCTTGAATATTTTATGAGATCTAGGTATTAGAATGAGGCTTCTGAAGCAGGGACACAGAGATCTAGGAACAAAAGAGAGGGATGAGAGAACAGACTGTGAAATGGCTTAAAAATGTGAAATGATCTTAATGTTGAACTCAGGAGTGGAATGATGGTGTCACTGCAGAGTGTTCCTTGTAAGGACTCTAAAAGTATAATGATTTATTGATTGGACCTGAGCTAATGATGTGCCCTGATTATGCATGGGTAAATAAGAGAGCTGATTTACGAGGCTGCGATTGGATCTTTCAGATATATTTGGCCCAAGTCTACATATTGAAAATAAATGAAGGTAATTATCTGGGTATTCCAGGGGAGGGATCTTCCCACACTGGTTTGGAGACAGTGTAGTGTGTTAGGTAAAGAGGAGGAAAATGGGGGTGCTGGGGGATGGAGAGAGATTCTGGAGATTTGAAGAAGAAACAGGGAAAAGAATAAGTTATTGAGAAATAGCCCCTGCTTCCTAAGAGGAAGAGAACTAGATTTCCGGGTGCTGCTAGACAGCAATGTTTTCTTTTTTAAAAATGAAGAAAAAAAGACATTATAAGAAATTGTCGTATTAAAGCAACTACACAAGGAGCGTGTGTAAGGAAATCGGGCTTTTCATTACAGATAGGTTTAAAAAGCCTCAGAGAAGAGAGACTCGAGAAGAGAAGCAACGCTATCTATTGGTACCCTCACTGCTCTTCAGACAGAACCCTGAAAAGCTTGCAGCTTCATCGAACAGGGCGTTTGTCTCCTGATAAAGACTCATCTTTATTTCTTTCAGGATATAAAACTTGTATTTAAATCAATTCAGAGAAGCATTCTGACTTTAAACACGCACAAGTGGGGAGAGCCCATTTAATGAAACAGCATTATTTGGTTTTCAAAGAATCATCCTGGCAGTAGCTGTGAGTTAAGATTTTGAGTTCTTTCCCTCAATTATAATTATAGCTGAGTCTGAAAAGAAGCTTGCCTATTACTGTCATATGTATTCTTCTGACAGGTGTTGTGGGACTGTAATTTGATGAAGTGATTCAAAATGCAGACTCCCTTCCAAACATAATTCCTGTCATCAACACGAGGAGTTTAGGACGAGTCCTCCAAGAAGCCTTGAGCACCCCTAATATTCTAGCACAATCCAATCTTGGGGATATGAGGAAGATCTTGCCGTCAGGGTTTGTTTCCAATGTAGTAAGAAGACACGGGAAAGAAGGCTTTGGGGAAGGCCAACTGGGTGGGGTCGGATCAGGATGCCCGCACCCAGTAGGACCCCGAGTCCCTCCCGCGACCAGCAGAGGGCGCTTAGGCACCTAGCGGCCCGGGGCGGGGCTGCGCTGGCTTCCGCTGCGCAGGCGCACTAGTCGTTTGCAGTGTCTCGAGTTGGCGTCCGCCCGGAAGGCGGGTGAGCCCTGCTGCGCGGGCCCAGGGCGGGGACTCGGGCGGCGGGGGCGGGCTAGGGATTACCGAGGCTTCCTTCTGGGCCGGGATCTGTGGAAGCCCTGGGGGCGATCTGCGGGTGCTCCGGGCTTCCCCCGAGAGCCGGCGGCACCTGTCGCAGGCCTAGTCCCGGAGCCGCGGAGGAGCGTGGGAGGCCGGGATGCGGGCTAGGAGAATGCAGGGAGCCTGATCTCCGCCATGTGCTGCTGGCGTCCCTACTCGGCTGGGGCAGCCTGGGTTCTATGGTTTTCAAAGAGAAAACGTGCCACTCTGCTCTCGGTCGATCTATGAGAATACCTTTTTACTAGGAGTAACTGGGATCATTTTGGTTTCTGCAGTATTTAACCCAGGCTGGCCTTAAATTCATAATCCTCCTGCCTCAGCCTCCCACGTGTACTGACCATTTAAACTGCACACATTTAATAACCTTTAGAATGTGCGCAATTGTGCATCTACCACCACTGTCGGGTTTAGAATATTTACTGTGATTTAAAAAGAAAATTGAAAAATTACTCCGTTAGCAGGCAACACCCCTCCCTCCCCAGTCCCTTTCCATTTCTCTGCGCTAGGCAACCACTTCTCTGCTTTCCATAGATTTGCCAATTCTGAACATTTCATTGAAACAGAATCAATCTTACGTTATGTAGCCCCTGTTAATTGGTTTCCTGCGTCTTGCACACCGTCTTCAAGGTTCACACGTGGTACCTAAGTCAGCACTCTATTCTTTTTATGACAGAATGATTTTCCAAGGTCTGCCTGGATCAGGTTTTAGTTCTCCATTCTCCCTGTGATGGCTCTTGGGACTCATTTGAAGTCCTTACTATCACATACCTGCCCTCTGGGTATAAGGTAGTGGGGGCCAAGGAAAGGGCAGGATAAAGTGTGACATATCCTCGGGTGGCACGTGGGAACTGGCCAGGAAGAAAGACTGATTAGTTACCTGCTAATCAGGAGCTAGGAACAGCTGAGTGGTAAAAAGGTTGCCTGGCACCGTCAAACTCCAGGATTCATCTCCAGCATCCTCACCTCCCACAGGGATGGGCACAGAGCTGGGACTGAAGGTTGTGCCAGTGGGAATGAAGGGAGGCTGGGCTGACCTTCGTTCTGTGGGAGAGGGACGAGGGAAGGCCGGCTTGCTGGAAGGACATAAATATGCCAGATGGAGCCCTGGGGTGGGCGAGCGCAGGGAGCACACCATTCCTAGTTTTCAACTTTTCTCCATCAAGAAGATTAATTGCATATTTAAAAAATGGCTGGCGCAGGCTTAATTTAGCTTTTGTCAGTGCTCAATCAGGCATAATTTCAGGTTATCTTCTACAGTTCCATTATCTTTTTAAATGTATGACTCCTTTTCCAATTATTTTTAGGAGCCCCGTGTAAGGACACAGGTTAGAGAGACACGCAGTGAGCTTACATGGGGCTGGGCCCTTTCTTAGTCCCAGGGCCCGCAGTACCACCTGGCTCCCAGAAATCCCCTTTGTGTCCCCCCTTTCCTAATAGATCATGCCTCTTTTGAGTTTTGTAAATTGGTTTCGTTTTGTTTTGAGACAGGATCTTGGATAGCCCAGGCTGGCCTTGAGCTTGCTATGTGGCTGCAGGCTGGACCTTGCACTCCCAAGTATCTTGCCTCTACCTCCTGAGTTCTGGGTTACAGGGATGTGCCACCAGACCAGTACAGCTTCGTAAATTGTGTGTGATGTCACTTGTGGAGGTCAGAGGACTGACTGCCTTTGGGAGCTGGTTCTCTCCTGCCACCTTGTGGGACCCAGGGTTGAGCTCAGGTTGTAAGACCTGTGTCTAAGCCATTATACCACTCAGTAAGATCTTTTTTTTCCTCTGTGTAGTCCTTAATGTTCTGGAACTATAGACCAAGCTGGCCTACCTCTGCCTCCCCCCATGCTGGGATTAAAGGTGTTTTCCACAACTCCCTGGCTTAAGACTTTTTTTTTATTTTAAAGCATTCCTTTTTTTTCCTTGTGTAATTGACATTAGTCTGATTTTTTTCCCCCATCTCTATGTGAGAGGATGCTGTAATGCCCTTGTATTCAGAAAGGCACGGAGAACAAGGATTTGTGGCTAAGTTGGGAATAACAGTCTAGTCAAATGTGTGTATCAGTGACTTGAACCTGCTCTTGCATAAGCCCCAGGAGAGTTCTTTATGGATGGGGTGCTTGGTCATGATTTAGCACTTCTTTCTTTCTTTCTTTCTTTCTTTCTTTCTTTCTTTCTTTCTTTTCCTTTTTTTTCTGGAGACTGAATTAAGGGCCTTGAACATGCTAAGCAGTTCTTTTAACACAGGGTTACCCCAGCCTTAGCATTCTTAGGCATACACATTTAGCAAGTAAGACTGTGGCCTTCAGAATCAAATAGACTTAGAGTTAGTTCCCTACCTGACTATGACAGCTATGTGGCCACTGACAAATCTTACCTTCCCTGAGCCTTGGTTTTTTATCTATAAAATGGGACTAACAATACCTACCCTTTAATATTGCTGTGATTAATGAGGTAATATGTAAAAAGCTGTCATAATTGCCAGGAACTAATTAGTCTCTTGTGGGAAGGAGATCAAATATGACATTAGCTTTGTAGAAGATTCTGGATAACCAGGTATTGGTCTTTTCAGTGGTTTCCCAGAGCTTGCAAACTAATGCTGATGGCAGGTCAGATTCATTTGCTTTGTCCTGGTGTGTGATTGTTTCAGTGTTTTCATTGTATAAAGGTGACTTAAGTAACAGGCTCCCCAAAGATTGTGTGTCCGACTGACTGTATTAGACAGTACAGGATGGGGAAACAGGCTTGATAATATAGTCCATGGGAAAAGGTACTTTGAAGTGGATGCCAGGGCTCTAGGGTCTGAGCAGAGAATGCAGTCTGGGCTGCATTCCTTGAATTCTCAGGTCATGGGAAGTTGGCAGGGTCATTGCTCATGGAACTGGTTAGGACATAATCAACCTGTGTTGGAGGGAAGGGGGTGAAGGGGGAGGATGTGAGAGCATCAGTTACAGAGTGGGGGGCAGGGAGGCTTGGGGAGATGGTAATGTCTTCCACCCCTGGAAAGAGGATAACAGAGACCTGTGGACAGTGGACTTGCTGGTGGATCAGGACAGCTCAGACCTTCACCTGAAACACTCTTAATGATTGTGTTTCTTCTTGGTTTGTCCCTTTTCTCTGTGGATTGGCTTTTGTTGAACTGTTTGGAAATAGCTGCAGAGCCTGTAACATATTTCTTCTTAATGCATGTACCTGCATTATGTAAGGATAAGAGCAAGCCACACAAGCATAATATCATGCAATTCCTAATAACATTGGAAGATTTGTACCAACTTGACAGCGTCAGCTGTTGCACAGCTATGGAATGTTTTACATGGGAGGCTGGTAAAGCACTGTAACCACCCTTGGAGGTAACCACCCTGGCAGGGTCATCCTTGCACACAGGTAGGTGCCTTCCCATAGCCCAGGTGACACCTGAGCTACAAGTCAGGGCTAGAGTGAAAAGAGGTGTTAAGGCTCTTTTGAAGTCACCTCGAGTTTCTTCCTGAGCACGGTACGTGGCAGCGTGGGGCGTTCTGTGTTAGTGAGGGCCTCTAGGAGGTGCCAGACCCAGAACTGAGTGTGGAAGAGTGAGACCAGCCGCAGGAAGCCACAGGGGCATTAAAGGCAGAGGGGAGAGGGTTACCAATAAATAGTGTGGACTTCTACTAGGAGAGTTCCTGTTATGTCAGCTTGAATGGGATGCAAATGTTATTCTGGGTGTCTCCATGAGAGTGTTTCCAGATTTAAATTAGCAGACTGAGTCAAGCAGACTGTCTTCATTAATATAAATGGACCTCATTTAATCTTTTTAAAAATACATATTTAGATCAGGCATGATGGAGCACATCTTCAAATCCCAGTGCTCAGGAGGCAGAGGCAGGTGGATCTCTGAGTTCCAGGTCATACTGGGGAGTCACATCTCCCGTCTCATTCAGTTCCCTACAGACCTGACTGTGACAGCACATCCAAGTCATAACCTACCACTAGCTTGCTGTACTTTAAAAGAATTTTTTTTTTGGTTTTACGAGACAGGGTTTCTCTGTATTGTTTCGGAGGCTGTCGGTCCAGCCCGGCCTCCACTCACAGAGATCCGCCTGCCTCTGCCTCCCGAGTGCTGGGATTAAAAGCGTGAACCCACTTTCTGTATCTGTTTTCTACCTGAGTCTGTGGCAGTCTTCTGTTAGAACTGTAGGCCAGAAGATGTGGAGATTTGCTTGCCACACAGTCTAACGATCCTTGGGGGGAGTGGGCAGGGGTGGTACTTGACCTCAGTTGCTGCTATTGTCTATATTATCTGGAGTGCATTACAAGTTACACTGTCATAGAATGAACATTTTGAACCTTTCCAACATAAGGAAGAATTCTCTTGAAGCCCTTTGAACTGGGTCAGACCCTTCCTGGTTTCCTGACAACTTTCCCTCTTAGGGTTAGAGTCAGGACATAGGCTTTGCAGATTTTGGATTTGCCAGCTCCTTGTAACACACACACACACACACACACACACACACACACACACACACACCACACACACACACACACAGTGTGGTAGTTTGCATGTAATTGGCACCCATAAGCTCATAGGGAGTGGCACTATTAGGAGGTGTGGCCTTGTTGGACTAGGTGTGGCCTTTCTGGAGGAAGTATGACACTGTGGGGATGGACTTTGAGATCTCCTATGCTCAAGCTACACCCAGTGAGACAATTCACTTCCTGTTGACTGTGGAATCAAGATGTAGAACTCTCAGCTCCTTCTCCAGCACCATGTCTGCCTGCACGCCACTATACCCAGCCATGATGATAATGAACTAAATATTTGAAACTGTAAGCCACCCAATTAAATGTTTTCCTTTGTGAGAGTTGCCATCTGGCTGGACAGATGGCTATGTGGTTAAGAGCACTGACTCTTCTTCCAGAGGACCCAAGTTCAATTTC